GAAAATTAACTAAGAGTTAACGTATTACTCAAATATAATTCAATTGGTGGATGGAGACTGGCAGTGGAATCCAGGATAACGCGCACTTCGTCTTATTTGGGACTCGTCCACTATCTGGATGTACCTGCATTCCCCGGTGAGTTAGTGATGATGTTCCCGTCGAGGTTCAAACTCAGTGCCCATAGTTTCAAAAGCCAAAGCACTATCCACTATACCACTTGGGCGACGAGAGCTGGCCACCTCATGTGCAACAGCTTATATTAATTATTTAATTGAATTTTAGATTTCCCCGTCGATTGATTCATTGGACTGAAGTGCTCAGTCTCAAATTGACATGTCAGCTTCTTGTGCAGATGCTTTGACGATGTCTGGGCATGTAATTAAAAGTTAATTTATTGGTGTGGATGGTGACTGGCAGTGGAATCCAGGATAACGCGCATTTTGTCTGAAACTATGGGTACTGGGTTCGAGACCCAGTGGGAACATCATCACTCCCTGGGAAATGCAGGTACATCTAGCTGGCGGACAAGTCCCAAATAGGACGAAATTTCACTGCCAATCACTATCCACAAATTAAAAATTTTAATTACATGCCCAGACACATCGTCAAAGCATCTGAACAAGAAGCTGACATATGAACCTGAGACCAAGCACTTCGGTCCAATGAATCAACCGACAGGAAAATCTACAATTCAATTATATTACTCAAATAATCAACGAACTTCGAGGTAAAATAATGATATAGGTGAAAATCAACAACAAGTTGACAGAAGAGTCAAACAGCGAAGACAGAACTTCAAGGAGATAGGGGGGGGGGAGAAGGAAAATGTGTTGAAGTTAACCCCGATAACCAACACCAACAAGCACTAATCATCATCAATGACATAAATTTAGCGGTAAACCACCTCTCCGAATTATCTTGGCTACATTGTTTCTACTCCAGACAGAATTCATGAGATTGTCTGTCTGTCTGGATTCAACATAGAACTTGCCACCGAAGTGCACCAGTTCCAGTTGCCACGTTCCAAATAGCACACAGAGGTAGACAAGAAGATGAGTGAAGAGAATCAATACAGTCTGACAAGTATAAGAGTGAAACAGAATGGGAAATGGTAGAAAGGAATATGAAAGATTACAGAGACTGAATGCATCTGCGCTGGACATTGACAACGATTTTGAGCCATGTCACTACCTATTGTCTCCAGCCATTGATTGATTCCTAGAGTCAGTCCCGAGGGCCCCAACCCGGAAGTCTGCATCTCCCTACCTGACCGACTCAGTTTAACTGTCAAGGATTTATTTCATGGAGTGATGAAGCCATGTTTTTGTTTGGCCACCACTGGCTCTTTTCCAACCTTCACCTATATCAGCTAGCAATGTCCGTCGGGGGAGGCGGTGGTTAGGCATGCGCACCACCTGACCTAGCCATCTTAGTCTATGTAACTTTATAGCCTCGTCGATTGATTTTCCCTCTTTGCCCAACACTCTACGCCTAACGTCAACATTACTTACCTTGTGAAACCACCTAACGTGAGACAGAGATCGCAGAAATCTATGATCGAAAGCAGTCAACCTTTTCATGTCTTCAACGCGTATTGGCCATGTTTCAGAGCCATAGAGAAGGACGGAGCGAACTGATGAGCAGTACACACGTCCCTTGGTTGATAACCGGATGTCACGCCTACGCCAGAGATGGTGTAAGTCAGCGGAAGCAGCTCGAGCTTTTCGGATCCGTGCTGAGATTTCATCGCCAATCAGTCCGTTGGTGCTAATGAGATTGTCAAATTCAGAATCGGAAAAATCAACGCAGACTCTGATTGCTCTGAATTCAGTGTGGAAATATGCTTCCCACAGAATCAGGAATAAGATCCATATCTTCACTACAAATATCAGGCCAGTTAAGCCTGTTATATGGTTCAGAGACAACCTGAACTTCACGAAAAGCATCCGCAAGAACCTGCAGCAGACCAGACTTATAGAGACAACCACTTCCACTCCATACTGATTATAACATGGTCGATCACAAAGGAACTTTGGTAGCCGACGAATCAACCACCCACCTTATTTCCCCCAACAAATACACAGAAGAAAATAAAGATGGCTAGATTAGACATACCCTGAAGAAACTGTTAATTTTCACCACACGACAGGATGTCGAACGAAACTTGAATGAGAATTGATGAGTTAGGCAGGAGTTCAATGGTGATATGCAGGAGATCATGTGAAGAGTAGGTTATGGGCAGTCATGATGCCAGATGAAACAATGAATGTAGATAACAGGACAGAATAAAGTGGTGACGTATTTTGTTGAAGCTCAATTGTTCCACTTGGAAGAAAAGGGAATAAATAATAATAATGAGTAGAATGGAAAAATGAGATTTCGTGTCTCCGTGTTTTTGGTTTCACCGCCCAAATCAGGCACCAAACTGAAGACGTTTTGTTTAAAATAAACAAAAAACAATGGACAGAAAACAGAATTTTCATTAGAACAACTCTGTACATTCTAATCCTTAGATATTCCAATTAGAAATTATTATTTATTAATTCCTTCACGTTCCCAGTGGAACACGGAGGACTTCAAGCTAGAGGTGTGAAGTTTCTGTAGCAGTGGCGATTATTTTTACAGGATGGTGTTGCTAGCTTCAGGCCAAGCCGAATTTTCCTCTTTACCAGTCTTACTGATATCTTAACAAGGTAAAGGAGTGTGTCAGAGGCTGGGAATCGAACCTCGGACCATATGCATGGTCAGTGAGCCTTCTAACCGTTGTGCCACCGACTAACACACCCGCATGCGATTTGCTCCTTTGCAACTTATTCGTAACTTACAGATAGAGAGTGAAGTGGTTGGTGTAGCTTGTTGATGACTATTTATTTCGAAAGTTGCATCAGCCAGCGCCAAAGGGTTGATCTCTGACGAAAGCTTAGAACGGATGCAGAAGGCTCGTTTGGCATTTATTAGCCGGCCTACACCATCTCTGGTGTAGACGGGATATCCGGCTGGCTGTGGACCAAAGGGCATGTGTACTACTCACCAGTCCGCTCCATACTCCTTTACGACTGGCTGTGAGACCTGACCTTTGAAAGTGCAGGACATGAAAAGGTCAGCTAGCTGTCTTTGATCATAGGTGCCTGAGTTCTATCTCCCGTGTGAAATGGTATAATAAGGTGAGCAATATTGAGGTTAGGCATCGGTCTAGTGCTAGATAAGGAGGGGAAGCTACAAAGATTGAGATGGTTAGGACCTGGACAGGCACTACCCCCCTCGACGGGCAATCTTAGTTCACACAGGATTGATTAGCTTTTATAAAAAGTTTGACGAAGACGAGAAAATATCATACAATAAACTTTGCTGAAAATTCTACACATCGTATGAGCATTGCACAGAATGACGATGTTATTCTTAATATTACCATCAATTACTGCTTTACTTGAAGATACCAGACGGAGAGAATACACTATGCAGTAAATTCTACTCAGAATAACGTACATTTTATTATTACCGTTCAGAATAAAGCGATTATCATGATCATTAACATGATAACATGCAGTAGAATCCAACACCCATCATTTCAAAATAACAAAACATTCCGTGAAGAATCCCAGTGAGGACAAAACGTACTGGATTCTATTATTGGCCCCACCATCGAAATAACTCAAAGGCAATATTTATAATACTATATACCATTTAAACTTATTCGCTTCACACTTATGATTAGGTCACGAGAATACATATGGTTACCTAGGTAACCAATCAACCATTAAAATAAAATATACCCTTAATATATGGACGTATATATATAGATATAGATATATTTCAATGATCAATTAAATTTTATGTCTACATAAAAAAAATTAACAATTTTAAAAAGCTACTCCGCCATTTACTACTTTTCTTCTGTGCATATATATTTTCTCTGTAAAATTCATGCTAGAATCGAGAACAGTATTTCAATTGAATGACTTTCATTTGTAACAGTGAAACAAAAGTTTACCCTCATTTTTTTAAAAAAAAAATTTGTTTGTTTTTAAGTGACAAAGAATAGACCTGGCTTTCAAGACATTCTTCTGTAAGGTTTCCTGGAGTATTTATGGTATGTTAGATGAAAGAAGAATGTCTGGAACCATCAACAGTTCGATATTAGACCACCTGGTTCAAACCAACCGGCCATAAAGTAGATAGCATCAAAGAAGAATCCTCCTCTATCATTTCCTGGGTACCAAATAAATTTTCGAAAACCTCAAGGTACCAAATACTTCAAACAGCAGAGACTGTAGAGATTCACGTGAAACAACCAGTGCTTTGTGTGCAGAAGAAGCAAGCTCAGCCATCCACTACTGTGGTGGTGCGGTACACACAACTTATTCCAAAGGGAATCTTTGTATATTTGGTGTTAACGCTTGAATACTTTTCCCACAGTTTACTACTGCATTAGCAACAGGATACTATGTATGCTTTTATGAGTTGATCACGGATCGATATCAGTTAGAGAACCATTGAAAACCAGCACTGGAAAAGGAAGTGGCGAGCTGGTCATCTAAGGGTGACATGGAGGAGGTCACGTGAAGAGGAGATGAAAGCATGTGGACAGACATGGAGCCAGATAATGAAAACATCGGCAGAGAACCAAACGCTATGGAGAAGTCCGGCTGAAACCCTATGTTCCTCTAGGAATTAAAGGAAATAATAATACCCATGACTGTACTCACTGGGAATTTGACTGCAGGACCTTCCAGCTATAAAGTGAGCTTATCAGTTCCCGAATGAGCCACCATTCTAGTGGATAAATGGTCAACGAGCTCTTCTTGAAACCTGAAGGTCTTTGGTTCGATACCCACACCAGGTGGAGTCACATGTGCGTACTAATACAGAATCCTAAACTAGGACGAAACAGCTGTCTAATGCTGTCTAGTTTTCAAGGATTCTCTAACTGAGCTGTCAATCTATGTATGATTAAACTTCAAAATCAATAAATAATAAATAAATCAATAATTCTACTCACCTCATATAATCTAATAATATTTGGATGGTGTAAACTCTCGAGAATAGATATTTCACGACTAAGTAAACGTCGAGTTGATGCATCCATTCTACTCTTGTCCAAGACTTTAATAGCCACACGTTCTTTGATGATTTATGAAGGCACACAGACGGGTAGACAAATCGAGTAAGATGAAATAGAGTAGAACAAAGACGAGAAAGAAAAGGCATAAGTTATAAAGACGCATGATTTTAAACAATAATTTAAAAAAGAAAATATTTCATTGGTTAAGAGTTTCATCCTAGTTTGCTGGACTTTTCAGTAGTGCATATATAGCAGCTGAGAAAAGAACGTCTTTATAGCAGTTATGCTTTGAAGTGAACAAATTAACCAGATAAGTTTCCTCGAGAAGCATTGTGACGAATCTAGAGACCTTAGAAGATAGTTCGAGGAAAAGAAAAGGTACCTAACGATTGGAAGAATGGCTGGCTAGCATGTCGAATTATCAAAGAAGGACAAAAAGCCGGAGAAAAATCATGATCTTGTCCACATCAAGCAAAATATTCAATCACATCATAGTGGAGAGACTGAAAAATGCTCTGGATTCAAAACTCCTTCCGTAAAACAAGAGGGATTAATGAAGAGCAAATCATGTGCTAATCATAATTATAATACTAAATATTCAGCATTAAAAAAGGCATAGAATAGCCGTCAAATCTTTGCCTCAACTTTGCAGACTTTGAAAAGGCCTTTGACAGAAAAATTATAATAGCTTTATTCCAAAACAGTACTTGTGATACAGAATGGAATTCTCAGCATTTCACTACACTATTGCATCCAGTTAGTACATTAACAATAAATAAAATTCCACATAGATTAAGGGTAATCTCAGTTAGTTTTGACAACAACATATTAGCATGTTGGTAGCAAAGCCAAAATTGAACAGAGTGTTTGAAGGTGTTAGAAAAGTAGGTTACAGCGTATTTACTGGCATAAAAAGAAGAGAAAAGGGAAAGAAAGAAAGAAAAGCGTTGTACCTATAAATGATATGAGTTGGAAAGACGAGATCCAGTTGTTCTACTGACTATTTAATAAGTTATAGGTATCACACCTAATGCTTTCTCTATTGAACAGAACACGAGGTAAGTAGGGTATGGTTGAGTTTTGAACTTGCTTGTGCGAGCGTATAGTTTTCTATATAGACTTCTGGTTCTGCCTGATGAGATACAAGGGGAGAGTTGTGAATGAATGAAGAAGGTGGTGAGAGTTAGATAAAATGGATTGAGCCTATTTTTCACATGAGTTCAAGTGTCTGTCGACTAGAATATTTACAAGCTGGTTAATTGGCACTCTGCTTACCCTGCTGACAAGCTTTACCATCCTGCGTAATAAGGTATAGTCTTTCTTCAGTAGCCACCCCAGGAAAAACTAAGGGGAACAATAGAGAATAATAGGCAGATTGAGAGAGTTAACGAATCGTAGGAGTAAGGGTTGGGTTATACCAGAATGTCTTTACTTCTTGATGTAGAAGGTAAGATGGAATTTTTTCTTAGAAATCATCGAGATATGAGATGACCAGGAAAGATCAGCAGATAGAATGACGCCTAGGTATTTAATTTCTGACTTGGTTTCTATTTCAGTGCCATCTATGTTGCACACCTTGTGAGTGATAACCAGTTTGTTTAGGTCAGATTTATGCCTAAAGGTGAAATTGACTGTTTGGCATTTAGAGGGATTTAAGCTAAAACCGTTTTCCTTGGACCATTGGCTGACTTGCGATAAAATGCCATTTATTTTAGCGCAGTCACTTTGGCATTTGACAAGCAAAGATACAGTCAGAGTGTCAGCATATTTAACAAAATTAATGTCATTTGAAGATGGTAAGTCATACAGAATGAAAGAAAGAAAAGAGAAGTGGGGAGAGTATAGCACCTTGGAGGACACCAGCTTCAGTAAGCACAACAGAGGAGGATTCACCTTTGTATACGGTGTACTGCATTCTGTTAGAGAAGTAGGAATGCAACCAGTTAGTGACCCAGGACTCAGTTTGTGTCATTGAGAGCTTATTTAGCAAGAGACATCTAGGTGCAGTGTCGAAAGCAGAAGTGCTTGCCGATTGAGTGATTTGGAGATTGCTTCAACACCATGAAGTGCACTAGACCATTATCAGCCTCATCCAGTAACCATAATATGACGTCACGTGCAAGGTGATTCACAGCGAAGAGTTCACTGAAGCCTCTGAAAGAGAGAGAGAGAGGATATGACTATCTACTATCACGAATGATCCTCTCCATTGTGGCGGACTAGATCATTTGGTACGCAAGAAGACAGGAGCATATCGCACTGATGAAAAGACGCTGGAAGAAGAAGAACGAGATTTCAAAGACAAGCGAAGACACGACTCCAGATGAAGATAAGACAGTGGTGATAAAGATAACCAACCAACCAACCAGCCAATCAATAAACAAGTAACATCAACCAGCACCAATCACCATCAAGAGGAGAGATTTGACAGATGTTACTTCCTTCCTTCATTTATCCTGCCAGGAAGCACGGTTTCAACCCCGGGCACAGACGGTACGGATGAATATATCAAAGCCAACCAGCCAGTCAAGATAGGAAAGGCGCAGATAAACCTTCATCAACGTGAAACCAGTTTGGAAATCTTCTGCTTCACTTACTCAGAATAAAAAAAGATTCGAATTTTCAACACAAATGCGAATTCAGCCAGCTATTCTACTCCATAATGAAAATCAAATAGTAGCCGGTCGGTTGGCAAAAATTAGTAACAAGAAACTCTGACTGGGAATATAGATCAACTCTAGAGCCGATTGCTCAACATATATGTAAGATGAAATGGAGATTGATGGGTCGAGCATACGTTGAGGAGGTCGGTGAATGACATCGTGCGCCAGACCCTTGAGTGGAACCCGAATGAAATGAGACGAGTGGGTCGTCACATCGGGGTGAAATGGAGCAGATTGTGCAAAGAGAAGATAATAATAATATAATATATTAACATAACTGCATGAGTTTGAGTAGAGTGAGCGCCTTGATCAGTGTTGGCATTCCCTTCACAGCCACACACACATCCCCCATAGTACCTGTCGGTCGACGGAATCGAATGCCACTTTCATGTTAACAAATATCACGATTCAAGTATTGATTTGTAGGGATTCAGTTGACTGGTTACAGGATTTCATCATTAGCTGACATTGATTGGTTAGAGAACCATTGGGTGCGTACTGATGAAGAGTCCCAAACTAGGACGAAACAGTTGGCTGTCCAGTACTCCCAGGTTTTCTAATGGTTGTCTAACCAATGTCAGCTCATGATGAAATCCTGTAACCAAATATCACGATTGTTGGACGCCAAAAGTAAGTCTGCCTATTTTCCAGAATCTGTAGGAGGGTGAAGATACAACCAATACAACCTATTTCTGCTCTAATACCTCTCTTATCTTCTTGTGTTTGTTTCTCCCAAGCAGCACACTCAATCTACACATGATTATTGAGCCTAGAACTTTAGATACCACATTGGTCAAGCTAATCCCCCTCTAGTTATCACAGGAAGACTTGTCTCCCTCTTCCTGTTAAACTGGGATAATCAATGATTTCCGCTAGCCTAACGGGTCTATCTCTGAATCCCAGATACTGCCAAATATACCTTAGTTAACCCAGATAGTAAATTCTCTCCACCGTCCTTAGACACCATTCCATTACAATGTATATATTTATAATAATAATAACAGCTTTATTCCAAACAGTATTTGTGGTACAGGTATGGAATTTTCACAGTGCATTACAATATATTGCATCTAATTACCTCATAAATTTTATAAGATTTTTAAAATCAAAAAGCAACAACAAAAAAAAAAGATAAATAAAAATAAAGAAAAACAGCGTAGAGTTTACATTTTAAACAATGCACCACAGGATATGAAATATAAAGTTGAGGTGTGATAGAAGATGAGAACAACAGTGTAATAGTAACGAGGAAAGGAAAACAAAAACTAATGGGACTATTTGTTAGAGTGCCGCAGTAAGTTTATCGTGTCACATACCTAATGGATTTCTCATCACCACATAACAGCTGTGCCAGATATGGTATTGTGGAGTTTTTGTACTTGGTAGTCCTAGCATATAGCCTCCTATAGCTGCTTCTAGTTCTACCAGATGAAATGCAAAGAGACAGCTGCGTATAGAGAGGATTCTCGGGGTCTGACAATATTGTATTTGCTAGTTTCTTACATGACATAATATGTCTATCCACAATAGTGTTAACCAGTTGGTTTAACGATACCCCACTTGCCCTACTAACGGCTTTTAGTGCATGCCCTTCTCAGCAAAGCAAAGTCTTTCTTAAGTAGTCCAGGAAAGATTATTGGGGAGCAGTAAAGGGGGATGGGTAGAATACAAGAATTGACAAACTGAGAAAGCAAAGACTGTTTTATGCCAGATTGCCTAAATTTCCTAATGTAGAACGTTAAGCGAAACATCTTTCTAGTAACTAGCAAGATATCGGAGGACCAGGAAAGATCGGTGGAAAAACTCAGACCGAGGTACTTGACATTAGATGTATTTTCAACCTCTAAGCTGTCAATGATAGTGGGGCCATGTGAGCTAACTAGTTCCTGTAGGTCACATTTACGTCTGAAACTGAAATCGACTACCTGACATTTAGACGGATTAAGCTTAGGTCCGTTTGAAGAGAGGACCACTGACTAATTTCCGACAGAAAGTTATTTAATTAGGAAGAATCTGACTGAGAGTTGACAGGCGTAGAAACCGAGAGGTCATCAGCATACTTAACAAAAGTGGCTACATCAGAATGGGGGGGGCAAGTCATGTAAGAAAAAAGAAAACACAAATGGGAAAGAACAGCACTTGAGGAACACCAGCTAAAGTAAGTGAGGTAGTGGAGGACTTTCCATTGTAGATGGTGTACTGCTTCCTATCAGAAAAATAGGAATGCAACCACTTATTTGTCCAGTTCTCAGCCTGTGTTGCAGCAAGCTTACTTAGCAAGAGAGACCTGAGAAGAGAGTCAAATGCAGATGTGTAATCAAGGAAGGCACAGCGAACGTATATTTAGCTCCTTTATCTAAACTAGAGACTATACTATGATGTAGGACAACAGCGGC